TTTTCCCGGGAGGTATGGCTGAGTGGCTGAAGGCATTGGTTTGCTAAATCAACATACAACAAGATTGTATCATGGGTTCAAATCCCATTTCCTCCATTCCGTCGGGGGCGTAGTTCAAGTGGTAGAATGCATGTTTTGCAAGTATGAAGTTATCGGTTCAAATTACATCTGGCGTTGATTCCTGTGGTGTGAACTCTCATGTGAATGCTCTCATCTTGCATGTGTGAGTTGGTTTGGAACTGCAAGATTCATTGTATGGTGTTTTTTTTAGCCTTTGATGTTCAACTCTTCATCTGTTGACTGTGTTTTCATTTTATTTGTGATTTCTATTTGTGTGCTGCTCGTGTGTGTGAAATAACAGGGTTTTGAGCAGACCACCTTTTCTCTAGTCCAGGTGGAAGAAAGGCAGAAGGGCTGGACGTACTGGATCCTCACGAAGACCACTTAACGAAAGCCACAATGAAGGTAACACTCTCAGTGGAGGGGGCAACTGGGTTGTAGTTATTACACGCCAACTGTGAATCCTTTCCTACAGGTAGCCCCCGTTTGCTCTGGTTATGCTAAGAAAGGATCGATCTGGCTAGGCCAGTATCATGCTTTCTAAGACCTGAACCTAGCACCAATAGGGCCTTCCCTAGAGGGTCATGCCCCCCCACCACACTATGTTTTGCACTTAGTTGGGTACTTTGGTGGCCAATGGCAAATGGTGATACCTGATTGAAGGTACATGGGTTGAACTGAATCATATACATATACATGGACAGTGTTTGGTGGGGTATGGAGTTGTGAATTTATGAGCTGTGTATCTGACACTATCTCATCTGTAATTTAAACTACGAGCACTTGAGACCCTTCTGCAGTCTTCTGGGACCTCTGAATGCATTTTATCATGAATGAATGAATTTAACTGGGTCCAGGCAGGCCGGTACATCCCTGAATGGCCAGTGAGTTAATGGTTGGACCTATTGAATACTGGTGGTTTCGTGGGATGTTCTACTTTGCTGGCTTCAATTTCTAATCAAAACAAACCAGATATGTTTGCACATTGCCATTTGAATATATAATATATTTGTTATTATTATTATTTACATTTGGACCATTTCTCGATTAATGTGTGTCATCCTTGTGCAGGGGCCATGCTAATCTTCTGTTATCATTCCAATTTTAACGGGTGTCTCGAAGGACTATAATCTAATTACATTCGACTTACAACTAAAATAATTTTATGATCTGGAATGACTTTTGTTTGAGGAGGATGCATTTATTTCCTAACCGACGGCAGTCTACTTGTGGAGACCACAGGAGTAGGAATGCAGAGGACATCAAAGGGAGGTACGAGAGCACAGACGACAAGGATTTAGGGGCACCAAGAATATAGGAAACAAGGAGAAATCAGAGGCATTACAGATAGAGTAGTTAGGGCCATGACGCTCCAGTTTCACAAGCTTTTCAGACAGCTGGTGGCTGATGGGAGCACAAAGGCTACTAGCCATAAACAGGGGGAAAGAAACATCCTAAAGATCAGACGAGGAGAGTAGGAGACAGGGAGAAGCAGTGTAGTAACAACAGGCTGACTTAGGCAGGGGTGAGGGAAGGTACATCCTTCAGGACTGTAAGTAATCAATGCCGCCCACTCGGGTCTCCCAACCATAATGTGGGGAAGCGTTTCGATTGCGTTGTAAGTTGTATTCTTGACTTGCCAGTGGAATAGGAACCGGACTGATGCTCCCCAGAATGGACAAGGAGCCAGGGCCGTAAGGTCATATTTTTTTTGTAAAACAAAACAAAAAAGGAATGATTCTCATCAATCCTCCGCTAGGAGCCATATCAAGTGCAGGGAGTGAACTGTGACTGGCCCTGTTTGTGACAGAACTGGGCAGGACTCCTAGAAAATGCGGTCCGAGAACTTGAAAGCAAACTGATATGGGTGTGGTTGCGGCCACATAGAAAAATGAACTGATCTCCTAGAATACACTACCAAACCGGGGTACACACTACGATTGAGGTCATACCCTCATAGCTCAGATTATTATCCAGAGATGGGAGACTTGCCAAAACCTCGCCTCATAGAGGATTCTTGCCATCACCTCCACCAGAATACGTAGCTTCCAATGAGGGTGACCTGTCCAGCAGATGTCATGGGGGTCTTCTTGGCCTCAATAACCTGCCAGAGCCTGCTTATTTCAGAAAAATCCCTAGCACTCTACACATTACCCCTGGATATTGAGATGGAAGGCCACGACGAGTGGACAGAGATCGAGTATAAGGAATGGGAGGAGCCGATGATTCAGGCGCCAGAGGGGAAGAGGCTCAGGCAGAGGAAATGGAGGTAGCAACACCGGAGACCAGTTTATGGCCTACAGCTTGGGAACAGACAAGAAAGGAGAGGATTCTGGGGGATCGGGTGGTGAGACAAGTTGACGAGGATAGGTAAACCAACATGCATCATTTCATGGGATCTCCCCTGCAACCCGTACCTCGCTCTTAGACAACGCCGCTCAGGCAGAGCAAATGGAGGTAGCAACACCGGAGACCAGTTTAGGGGCCTACAGCTTGGGAACAGACAAGAATGGAGAGGATTCTGGGGGATCGGACGGTGAGACAAGGCGACCAGGATAGTTAAACCAACATACATCATTTCATGGGATCTCCCCTGCAAACCCATACCACGCTGTTAGACACCCCCCCCTTCCCATCAATCAAAACCCAAGTCCTCCCTCCCTCGTTTCCTAGCGATGACTCCTACATAGACTGGTCCGCCACATGCCTACGATTAAGTTGCTGCAATGTTAATTGCCTAGGCAACATACTAACATAGGAAAATAAAATGAATGAACTGTCCCCCCCCCCCAATTCCCAACCACCGCCTTTCCATCCCCACCTGCTCAGTCAATCCTCTGGACTCCAGAGTAATCAATGCTGGCAGGCGCCTTCCAGACATCATCCTGTTACTCATCTACGACTTATGTTGTGTTTTAATGCATAAGGGACGCTGGACCCGTTTTCCAGCAGGTGCTGCTCCCCACCAATAGACGGAGCCTTTCCCCGGG